TTTGGATTAACCAATGGCCACTTCCAAAAGAAAAGCTTATAGCTTTACACAAACTCCAGCCTTGCCTACTGCAGCTTTATTTCAATTACATGAAGCGCAGGTTTATATCATTGAATGGTTGCATTTGCAAAACACTCCCAGAAAAACAGTTTCTACTATGGCTATGCTTTATAGTGAGTTAATCATCAAAGGCCGAAATCGCAGTATGCATTTATATGGCATAGATCTAGTTCAGTTATTTTTACCTATCTCCCTCACTTTGTGGGAAACTTGGTATAGTCAATCCATTGAATTGCAAATTGCTCTTGAAAATTGGCCAGGGAAGATTTCTTGCCACACCCCCAGTGACCCTCGTTTCCAGTTGCTTCGAAACGTATCTGTAAATTTTAATTCTGTTATTGCTAAGCAGCCAGTTGAGGGAGTGACCGTTTATGTATACGGTGGTAAGACCTACGGCGCTTGTGCATGGAGACAGGAAGGGGTATGGAAAACAAAGATTACCCCTCCTCAGCAATCAGCACAAAGGGCTGAATTAGCTGCTGCTATTTTGGCCTTACAGGAATTTGCACAAGAACCGCTAAATCTTATTGTGGATTCTCTTTACATTTATCAATTGATACTTAACATTGAATTTGCTTATCTTTCTCCTTCTGTTGATGCTAATCTTATGACTTTGTTTTTAGCCCTGCAAAGCTGTCTTCATTCTCGCACACATTTTCTGCATATCGCACACATTCGCAGCCACCAGCTACTTCCCGGGGAGCTGCAGGAAGGGAATGATGTGGCTGACGCAGCAGCCTCAGCCATGTCCTGTCTCTTGCTTTCCCCTGTTACTCCGTGGGACTCACATAGCTATTTTCATCAAAATGCCAACAATTCCACTGATCAGGCCATTGTGGAATGAGCTCACCAGACGCTCAAACAAGCACTCCTTCACATAAAAACAAAAACGGGAGAAGTGGATGGATATGGCTTGCCTTACATACAAAACATTCTTAATATTACATTATATACTTTAAATTTTTTAAACATGACAGGATCTCCTGCTGCTATGGCAGCCAGTAGGCATTTTGCTTCCTCCCCTTCTGCAGGTACGCCAAGACCGAAAGTTCAGTATAGGAGACTACCAGATCCAACGTGGAGAGGACCTGTCCCGCTGATAACTTGGGGCAGAGGATACGCTGCTGTTGAAGATGAGGGGACAATTGTTTGGGTTCCTGCTCGCTGTGTGCGTCCTTATCATCAGCCAAAGGGGCAAGGGGATGGATTTGGGAGAATGGAAAAGAAATACGTTGATCCAGGACATGGGGAAGCTAGCAAACCTTCATAATAAAACTGATTGTTGGATATGTATGCACATGCCAACTCACAAAACATCAGGGCTTCCAATGGTTGCAGTACCTCTGGCCGAAGGTGACTGGTATAAGGGACAATGTTATGGTTGTTCAGGGATGTGGTCTAGCAGTTGGACTACAAGTAACATAAATACCTTACACCTTGGAAGCCGGATCCAAGAGGTGGCGGGTATCTGTTGGACCCACAATGAGACAGTAGAAAATATGACTTACTTGGGGACATATCCGTTTTGCAACAAAACAATTGTTATTAGCAATGGAAGTCGGTTTTATTCTAATGATATGAAAACTAAAAATCTCACTTATTTTGTACATAACATTTCTCGATATGATATCACATCTTTGATCAATGAAAATAGGTGTCCATATATTCCTGCCACATGTTGTCCCACCACGAGAGAAAACCAGTTGTACAAATGTGTGAATGGGAAATATGCACCACCGTCCACTTATTTCGCTATGTTAATGGAATCCTTTGCACAATTAATCTATGCTGAACCAAATATGGTTGGTCATCTCCTGGGAGCAAATCTATGGTTGCTGTGTGGACGGATGGCCTATGATCGCATGCCAGCACGATGGAAAGGAGTCTGCACCTTTGGGAAAGTAATCCTATCTCATTTCATTCAAAAATCTTTGGGGACTGCTCATATCCGCAATGCGCGTTCCGCAACGGAAGTAAACTCTGTTTTGACTCATGACTACTGGACACAGATATCGAGCGGAGTTATTCCTCCTTTAGGAGTCATGATGAACTATAGAGATTTACATCGTTTAAACAATTGGACAGTTACTATGTTTAAAGACACCATTAAAACTCTAAAGCTGCTTGAAGAAGAGCAAGGAAAAATCCTTGACTTTGTCCAGCAAACCAGATATGCGGTGGACACTATTTTGGCAGCGCAAGGGGGAGTTTGCGCTATGATTCATACGCATTGTTGCATGTATATCTCTGATTATTCTCCAAACATTACAGCTACTATACAGCATATGGAACAAACCCTGAATGTGAATCCATTACAATTGGAGGACGAGGGACTGGACGTGTGGTCTGCACTTTGGTCCTGGTTGCCAGATGGTTCATGGATTCGTCATTTAATTGTTGGAGTGATATTGCTTTTTATACTTTCTCTTTGTGTATGCTGTTGTATCCAATGTCTCCCTGGACTTTTAGGAATGTGTCGGGTGAAGCCTACGGAAGGAGAGCTGTTGTTGCAGATGGCGAAAAGCTACCGAGGCATCCGCGATCATCAAAAAACTAAAACAGGGGAGATGTGGGAATAAAACTTTGACTTGAGTATTGGGTAATGATTAGTCTAAGACCTTATACATACATGTCTGCCTAAAGGTCACCGAGATAAAACAAGGAAATTAAAAGCAAACACCAGAAACTATTAAGCAGCTCAGACAAGTATAAACAATTCTATGTACTATATCTAATTATTGTAATCCACAATGTGAATGCTTACTATGTACAAAATTCTCAATAAAAGGGAACACTGGGATTTGCTCTAGACTCCCATCTCGAGTACACATGCTTGTGTCTCATTCTTTCCATGGGAGACCACCACAATTAACTTTTACAAATGGCCAATTCATCTTCAAAAACCCTACAATCTAATGATAAAAATGCTTTCATAAAATACTGTCATACGGAAAATTTTAAAGATCATAAATTTAAACCCCCAATTTCTGATCTTCCTCATGAAAGAAGAAGTCATAACATGAGAAAGTCATAAGGTGGGAATCATAACAGACTATTTCTACATGCCAAGATCAGATGGGCAGATTGAATTTTAGCTATTGTGTGCACTGTTAGAGATATCCTAGTGCTGGTCAATAAAGGTTTTAAACAATTATGGATACTTTACTGAATTAAAAAACTTACTGGTGACAATATGGAGACTTTAGAATAATGCTCTTCTTATTTTATGTAGGAATCTAATTGCAACTTTTTGTATGGAAAAATATTGATGACTACCTGAGATCACATTTGTAATACAAATCAGGATCTGCCGTGAATGTCTACAATATAATGAACCTAGGTAGAGGCTAATATTTGGAATAGACTCTCCTGTTTGAGCAGGGAATTGGACTAGATGACCTCTAAGGTCCTTTCCAACTCTGTTATTCTATAAATGCTAAGAAGCTTTTGCACCCTCCTCTTATCTTTTCAGAAAATCAGTGCTGTTAGTTTGAATAAGCTGTTGGCAAAGGAAATGTTCGCTCAGGGCAGAAAGCTATTCATATTGAAGAAGCAGATATTTTATTAACAATATTGGCAACTAGCAAAAGCATTACAATTTATTGGGATTTCATTGTTCTCTTCATACAGAGTTATGGTTTCATGGGATGATATAATGGTATCCTGAAAAACAAAATGTCCAAGTTGGTAAGTAAATCTAAAATTTGAAAAATCAAATGTTGGCAGAAATTTTGTCATGAGGATACATTACATTAATCAGTGGAAGAGAGTATGTTAGATTGGTGGGATTAATTATTTGCCAATAAAAGGAAGCTATGAAGGGTCAAACTTGTATAAAATATTGAATGCACTGAAGGACTTGTATGCATCTAATGTCCTACAAAAAAATTTCAACATCTTGCATCATGTCACATCAGAATGAACCATAATGCTTTAAGAACTCTTTCTCATCTGATACGTTTATAAACAGTTTGCATTAAAATTAAAGTGTATAAAGTATTTCATAAACTTATAATTAAAAATAATGTCTTTTTAATGTTTGTTTGTTTTCTGTGTGTGCTTGTGGATATTTTGTTTATGGATTGTATTATAAAGTAGAGAAAAATGTTTCTCAAACTTGGCAACATTAGAAGAGATGGATTTCAACTCCCAGAATTTCCCAATCAGCATGTTTTGGAAATGGAGCTATAGAAGTTGTACTGAGTAGGTAAATCTATAGTATTGTTAATTTAAAAACATAACTAAATTAACAGGAACTTCACTTTTTAAAATTCTGCATTGGTGCTAACTAAAAGTTTATTTGAAACTCTTGGTTAAAAAAAATGTTAAATTCTTTCTTGAGGCCACTTTCCTATCCCTACTGCAACTCTTCATGGGCCCCTTTGTCCCTGCCCCCTTCTCCCAGATCTAGTTTTCACAGCCATTTTATCTTTAAACCAATATAAGGGGATAGAAATCACCTTATGCTATAATTATGGCAGTCTAAAAGTTATTAGAGACCCTATCCTTTGGGTTAAAGACAACTCAAACAAAACTACAAGTTCCTTCTTATGCACCTTTTAATCACACAAAAACTTGCATACATAGAAAGTGTTTCACCAAAACTTTTTTAAAATGGACTGAACCATACAAAATCTCTTGTGACCCAATTAATACAATTTGAAAGTTATTATAATAATGGATGTTTAGATTAAAGCAAACTTAACATTTGAACTCTATTTTCAAACACATAATTTCATTCAGTACTGATCAACTGAGAAATGAACTCCTTGGGGATAGTTACAGACATTTCATGGATAGAACTTGTTCTCATCTCTCTAGCACTGCCAGGTCTGAGAAAATGGTATTCATAGTGTTCCAGTCCATCTTGAATCCTAGTGCATTGAAAAGGAGTCTGGTCTTTGAGTTCTTTTTACAGACTGCAAAGCAAAAACAGCACTATGGACAATCAATCAAGAGTTGCTGAATTCATTCTGCATGGATTCCCTGACACTGAAGAATTAAGAATAGTTCATATTATCACTTTTTCAGTTATTTATTTAGTGGCACTCACTGAGAATCTCATTATTATCACTGTCATTCTTTACAGCCATCAACTTCACTCACCCATGTATTTTTTTCTAGCCAACCTATCCTTCCAAGATCTTGGCTCCATCTCTGTCACAATTCCTAAATCACTATTGAATTCTTTGATATCCACTGAAACTATTTCTTATTCTGGTTGTCTCTGTCAAGTTTTCTTCTTTGTTTTCTTTATAATGTCTCATCTCTTCCTCCTTGGTGTCATGGCATATGATCGTTATGTAGCCATCTGCAATCCATTACATTATGAGATGGCAATGAACAAAAAAGTCTGTATCCAAATGGCAACCAACGCATGGATAGTTGGCCTTTTCTACTCTACGCTCTATACTGGAAATTTATTCACGGTGGATTTCTGTTCCAGAATCATCAATCAATTCTTTTGTGACATTCCTCAATTACTCCAAATCTCCTGCTCTGATTCATATTTCATTGAATTCTGGACTCTCATCTTTGGTTCCTCTTTAGGATTTATTCAGTTTGCTCTAATTGCTTTTTCTTATGTGAAGATCTTCAGAGCAGTTTTTAGAATCCCATCCTCTCAAGGAAAACAAAAAGCCTTCTCTACTTGCTTACCCCATCTCACAGTCATTTGTCTGTTTACAGTAGGTGGTACCCTTGCCTATTTCGGTCCAACATCCACTACCACTTCAGCTTTATATCCATTTCTATCTGTATTTTACTGTTTGGTACCACCACTCTTAAACCCACTAGTTTATAGCATGAGAAATAAGGAACTCAAAATGGCATTCTGGAAACAAATGCTCAATATTTGTCCTAATTCCTTGTGCAAACATCATTCTTGGTTTCAACTATTCTGGTAAGCTTTACGTAGATATGTTGTTATCAAAAACTCATACATTTCATGTAAATTAAGCATATGCTTCTCATTGTTATGCATGTTTTATCAAGATAGAATTTATTTTTACCAGGTATAATTCTTCAGTAAATCAGCCTATAATTGTAACATAAATCTCTTCTATTAATTGGCCATCCCGAAGAGGATGACTCAGCTTGACTAAGATTTGTGCAGGAGGGAAGAAAGAGGTGGATAACATCTGAACCGGGACAACTGGGCAATATAACCAAATAAAAGTACCCTGGGATTAAGGTAACATAGAATTTTTAAGAAAAGAAAAGTGAGCGGCAAAATTACAAAGGGACAGAGAAAAAAAGAAAAATATTTTTGACAGCTAAATGGGGCTTCGAACCGGGAAAGGAAGAAGCTGGAATTAAAGATTTAATGAAATTGGACTAAAATAATTTGGGAATAAACAAGTATAAAACTAAAGCTGGACTTAAGATTGTCAAAGAATAATAATAACAAAGTTTACAAATTGGAGACTGGATTGTGTTGGAATATTGATGTTCGAAAAACTTTAAATAAAAATATAGGGGAAAAAAGTGAAGACTTTGTATAATGGAGAGTGTCACCTTTTGATAAAAATTTAGTTCAAATAAAAGGGAAAGCATCTTGTTTTTGAATGAACTGGTGTGGATACAACATTACAGAAATATTGAAACAAAGTAAGAATTTTAGAAAGTGAAAGCAGAACCAGAATAAAGGAAAAAGCAAGGAAGGAAAGATTGTTTGTGGGACTGATTGATGTTTTTGGTATAAACCCTGGACTGGAATAGCTGAGAACTTTAAAAAAACTGAAAGAAGAAAGAAGGAAAGTAAAAGTGGTTTCTTTTTGTGGACTTTAACGATCATAAAATATAAGAATGATGATATCTCTTCGGGAATTAAAAATGGAACTTAAAAATATGAGAGAATTACTATAGGAAAGAGTAATTCCTAGAATTACTAGGAAAGAGGCGAATCACTTTGCTCTATGCTAGAAAAAATGGAAATGGCGATTGAAGAACAAGAAGAAAGATTCTCAGAGGAGGAGGAATCGACTCAAGGAGAAGACATTTTAAATAGACAATTAACACAAAGAACGCTACAAAGAAGTGGGGAAAGAAGGAAGGTTAAAAAGTTGAGTTTCAAGAAAGCAATTAAAAGAGGGAATACCTGTGAAGTCAGAAAAGGCAGGAAGATTCAGCAGAAAAGGGGAAAGGAAGATATTAAGAAAGAGATAAATTGGA